GTATAATAATAACTAGATTTGAACTCGTCACTGAGGACGAGTTAGGTGATCCGCCGCACTTTGACCCTCGATGAAATGTGCGCGGTGCAGATTGAACAATTTTTAAATGCTGAAAATGGCCTAAAGTATACGCTAATTCAGTTTTTAAAAAAAAGAATTTGGAGCATCTTAAAAGAGTTACTCATGCGTACGTGCACGTCATTTCACACATGCGCATGGTAATGTCACGAAATGTTCACTCATGATATGAGATACATGTATCAACTCTCATTGACAAAACGCCTGTTTGTGAGGGACTTATTATCCTTTATAGTATTTATCATATATAAAAATTCAGTTTTTCGAATTCGGATGGCAATATGATGACGTCACAATGTCCGATCAGCTATTATGATATATAAAATCATATCTACAGCTCATGTGCTTTCAGATTATTTAATAAAAATTCGGGGTCACCTTTCATCCTAAGGAGCTATTACTGATTAAAAAAAGACCTGATATAAAGCATATTTTAATTTTGACACACGCGAACGCTCGCGTTATTACGCGAGCACAAAAATATAATGTACATAACATTTAACCATGACCTGAAGTTTATGCCCACTAAATATGATTCAGAAACCACGACTGATTAAGGTGATTATGGGGTCATCAAAGTTTGACGAAAGAAATATGAGGGGGTAAGCAAATCCCTATATTTTGACCATGATGACGTCATCAAAATATAAAAAAAGTGTACGTATGTGAAAGAGAATTGACTTAGCTATAACATACTCAAAGTTGGAAGAAAATTGACCAAGAATAAGCGAGATACGCTCAAATGCGCATTTTTTTTAAATGACGACATCGATAATATTCAGTTTGTTGAATTAAGATGGCAATAAGATGACGTCATAATGTCCGATCAGCCATTATGACCTATCAAATCATATGTACAACTCATGTGCTTTCAGAATATGTAATAAAAATTAGGGGTCACCATTCATTCTAAGGAGATATAATTGATTGAAAATAGGCATGTTTTTGGCCTATTTTTGCTATATGTCGAAAAAATGCGCACATGTGCTTTTATGTTCTATGCGCGCGTACAGCATTGCTATTGACCCTAAATGACCAAAAAAGATTGGAAATTTGTGAATACAGTGTCAGGGACCTATAACATTTTAAAAAACAATATTTTTAACTTCTGTACGTGATGCGCGCGTAAAAATGTGCACCCGGAGTTATACAGCGCACGCGCAAAATGAGTGTACATTACAATCAACCTTCACTCGAAGTTAATGCTCACATAATACGAATTTGAAATGTCAATTGGTTAGGCTGATATAATCAATTGCGTAAAAACACTAAAATGCGCGTAGATGACGTCACACGTGACTGGTAACCTTGCAAAGCTTAGTGTCACTATTCCAGGCCAAGCCAAATGTTTGCTGTAATCATTTTGTGCGTAGCTCTCGGCAAATTTGAGATATCGTGCGAACAGTTATTTGTCAGAATGTAGAATAAAAAAAAAAAGATCTCTGACAATAACAAGAGGTGATCCGCACTAGATGCGGATCACCAAAAAGCAACAATCCCATTAAAATTGATTCTGAAATAATTGTTAGCGTTTTCTCTTTTTTGCCAGGTTCTCTTGTTAGACCAAAGATTGTTAGAAGTGTACACTATTGCCAAGCAACCAAAAAAACAATGGAGAGAAAATATACAGATCTTACATCACTGGATGCATTTCCATCAAGCTCAGTTTATCCAACAAAAGTGAGATACTTTTTGTTTTCATCCTAATTGTGGAACAGAGTTTTAACAGATTTCTTTAAATCTTGGTTCATTTTCTTCATGTTTTTGTTTGATGTGTATATTGTAAGATTTTATTTTATTGGCATTGAACATGTAATGTGGTGGGTAAATTTCCTTTCTAACTTTTAAATCTTGTTGAGTAATTAAATTTTCTGTTTATATTTTATTATGTTTTACAGACAATAAAGTTTCTTGAATCTGTACTTTGAGAAATTAATCGCTTTAAAAAAAAAATTAATTTAATATGATTTTTCGTACATGTGATATTTGAGTTATGAATAATATCCCTTATTTATTGTGACAACACCCAAAAATATTATTGTAAATATTGTATTACACTACTTTATATTACATTTTATTAACAGTTTTATGGGTTTTTATAGGATGATCAAGAAAATCCTCTTGAAACTGAGTATGGCTTATCCATCTATAAAGACCACCAAACGCTGACCATCCAAGAGATGCCAGAGAAGGCCCCAGCAGGCCAGCTTCCACGGTCAGTTGATATCATCACTGATGACGATTTGGTAGATGAGTGCAAGGTATGATTGACTGTTTCATTGTTCTGGTAGGGGTGATGATAATATACAGTATTATGTGTTTTTAGATGATTACTTCAACCTACAGTTACAGTAGTAACAGTGAATATGTTTTTTTTTTTTCTTCTGTGTGTTGAAGTTTTCAAAATAGTGTTTGCTGCCCTCTTTATAAATATTGTATGATTAGTTAAATAAATTGAATGAAATGGGGAATTTTAAAGTTTTTAACTCCAATCTTAATAGAAAAAATAATAGAATGTTAAATATTTTTAGCCTGGTGACAGGGTTCAGGTGATTGGTACATATCGCTGCCTACCAAGCAAAAAAGGATCCTTCACAAGTGGAACATTCAGGTAAAGTGTTATATAAAATAACATGATTTATAGATTAATGTTTCTAACCATTCTTTAACAGTACTAAAGTGTTGCATTCATTAGAACTTGTGAAAACTGATAAAGAGAACACAAGAAGAGTGCATTCATGGGAAACACCGACTTCACAAGTTCTAATGACCATAACAGTACTGCAGTTTGCCCTCCAATTTGAGACAACATTCGGGACCTGAAAATTTAGGGTTGTCTCCGAGTTCAGCCTCAACTGTAGTGTTAATAGATTGTCATTTGGTTCTTTGAAAAAGTTGTCTCGAATTAGAGGGGTCGTGTGTTAGTGATAAATTGTTTCAATCTTTGTTTCATTGGGAATTTATAACTTTATAAGTTTAAAGCTTTTAAAGCAATTCAGTAATTTTTATCAAATTTTTGAAGATTTACCAGATGTTTTCATGGGCAGTAATTTATTAAAAATCTATATATTTTTTTTCCAGGACCATTCTGCTTGCCAACAACATTAGACTCCTGAGCAAAGAAAATGTTCCCACATACTCTGTGAAAGACATCCAGAATATAAAACGGTTTGCCCGCAACAAAAAAGATGATGTGTTTGAATTGTTGGCACGGTCAATAGCACCCTCAATCCATGGACATGAGTACATCAAGAAAGCGGTGCTTTGTATGTTGCTTGGGGGGATGGAAAAAGTTCTTGAAAATGGCACACGACTTCGTGGGTAAGTCGTGGTAAAATAATTAATATATTTTTTGGAATCTGTACACTGTGTAATTACAGGATAGATTATGTAATGCACAGCAAATTAGGTTTCTTTGTGAGGCTTAGAGCGGTGAGTTTATTGCAATGAGAAAAATTGTTTGCAGGAATTGGACCCAGTAACAGGAGATTGAAAGAGAGACATATTTACCACCACATTACAGCAACACTTCATTAACATTGATTTTAATAATTATTATTTTAAATTTTTTAAAAAAACTATATTTCTATGACAATAATATAAAGCTGATGTTGATAATTTTTTTAAACAAAAAAAAAAATACAGGTCTGACAATAATGTTGTATTTTTTGATTTGTAACATTTTCAGAGATATCAATGTCCTTCTAATTGGTGACCCATCCACTGCTAAATCACAAATGCTTAGGTAAGCACAACCTTGTTCTTTAAAATAAATACCAATGTGTTGTCTTCTAATTATTAAGAGTTGGAATGATTGCATCAGGAACATGTTGTTATTAACTTATTTTTAAATACTGGTTTCCCTCGAATAAAAGACTCCTCTTTATAAAGACAATGTCAAATTAAAGACTACTTTCCTGTGATCTCAAATTTACAAATGTCTTTTATCTTTATTATTCTAATTAGAGACAAAAGCTGCTAAAGGCCATGGAACCCTGGTCTCAAAAATGGTCTTTAGTTGGAGAGAGACCTGTATTAATTAATTGGCAGTCACATAAAATTATACACCAAGACATGCACAAGTTATCTTAAGACATTAGGAACAGATAGATTTTAATAATGGATTTAAATAATGTTATACATTGTCCATGTGCTGTACTAAGTACTGGTTGAGTTGACTGGAATGCAAATATAGGAAAGGTTTACATTGTCAGTAAAAGTCTTGTTGGTGCACACCCATAAACACACTATAATCTGAAGCCAGTGTCTCAATATTATTAATCACAAATAATATTTACTAAAGTATAATTGTTAATATTCCTAAGACATTTAATTGTTACATATAAAAATGTTTGCCTATTTACCAGGTATGTGCTGCACACTGCACCAAGGGCCATTCCAACTACAGGTCGGGGTTCATCAGGTGTTGGTCTCACTGCAGCCGTCACAATGGACCAGGAGACTGGAGAACGAAGACTAGAAGCTGGTGCTATGGTACTTGCTGATAGAGGAGTGGTGTGCATCGATGAATTTGACAAGGTAAGTGATTATGACTAAATACTTCTGGCAGAACAATTTTGTCAAAATAAAAAAAATTATAAAAGCTTGTGGCACAGCATGTAAAGTGTTAGGCTTTCAGTTGGAAGGTCTGGGGTTCGAGACCTGTGCTTGTCACACTGCTTGTGTCCTTGGGCAAGACACTTTATCTGCATTTGCCTCTCTTCATCCAGGAGTATAAATGGGTACCAAGTAGAAGGTGAATGATTCTGAATGAATTTAGTAGTGCTGATTACACGCATAACTAGGAATACTCTGCAGGGAGAGGAGGAGGTTGCACGTTGTGTGTGATTTTTCTGTATCCAATGACCAAGGAAAAAAAGCACATTGAGCAGTTTTCTGGATATGTGCACTATATAAATCCTGTAAAATAAATAAGTAAATAAAATAATTTTTTTTTCACCTAAATTTGACAAAATACAACAAAAGCAACACTAAATATTTCAAACACTATCCATTTTCGAAAACTTTATAAAAATGTGTTGCATTGTTTGATTTTAGATGAGTGATCAAGATCGTACAGCCATCCATGAAGTAATGGAACAGGGACGTGTTACTATCGCCAAAGCGGGCATCCACGCCAAATTGAATGCACGGTGCAGCGTCTTGGCAGCCGCTAACCCTGTATATGGAAGGGTATGTTAAATTGTTCGTTTAACTATTTCTGTTCGCCAATTTGTGTTTTTTTTCATTGCATAATTTTTAGCAATCGATATTTATTATTATACTGATTATCATTTTTTTTTTTTATAAAATGTAGTATGATGAGTATAAAACTCCAATGGAAAATATTGGCCTTCAGGACTCTCTTCTGTCTCGTTTTGATCTCATCTTCATTGTTCTTGATCAAGTAAGTGCTTTTTTATTAGTAATGGGATTTCATCTTAATACACTTAGTCTAATAATCACGTTTACATGTCATGCAAGATTGCAGATGTTAACAACAGCAGGCCTCCAGAGCTTTCATTTTTTAGCAGTATGCATGTACTAAGTGATGAGTACTGAAACTGTACGTTGTCATTCACATTTTTTTTCTAAATATGTACTAGCGTCTGCTCCACTTTTTCTTGGCATGCCGCTAAGTAATTTCATTTGTTTCTTCATTATTTTATATCCTGTATGTCGTCACAATACCTTTTCAAAGCATTTCTGATTTCAAACCAGATGACAGTAGCATATTGTCTTTCTTCCAAATCTCTATTAATCCCTTTAGATGACTAGATTTTTTTAAAATTATAAGAATATGACAAAAAGCAAAAAAAAAAAAATTATTTGATTACGAAAACAATTTGAAAGGTGAGGTATTAAAAAAAAGGGGGAAAAAACAGTTGAGATTAAAACAGCAAACCTAGAATAGGGTCATATATGAAATAATAGCATGAAACAGAAGTTTCATGCTTTGTCATAATCACTGAACGAAATTAGTTTTGATCAATTTAAAAGAAAAATAGAATAAGACTATGAAATGAATGAAAAAGGGTATATAATTAAAATTAAAACTTGACACATCAGGAGACAGGTTGAGAAAACCTTATCTTTTCTCGTCTCCTTGTGAAGGATTGGGTGTTTAGTTTTAACTTATTTTCCTATATAACCCAGGATTATAAGTAAATATTGATTTTATTTTTAATGATATTGCATATCCCTTGATGGCTTGAGTTTGAAAATTGAATTTGAATTGAAATCGAAAGGAGATTAAGTATTAATCCATTATACACTGCTTAACCCTCAGATGGACCCAGAGCAAGATCGTCGAATCTCCGACCACGTGCTACGAATGCATCGATATCGCAATGCCAATGAGCAAGATGGGGATGGTAAGATTATGTATTTTAATTATCTAAACATTTAATTTTCACCTTCATTGTTATGTTTTTACTGAATACTTGTGCTTTCATATGGATATTGCAGACACATGATATTTTACTGTTCAGTGGCCTTCATCAAAAAAGGGCCTGGACTACTATTTATAACAGCTCCAGAAGTCTACTACAATGGTAGTTTAATATTCTTAACCTGTTTTTTTAATAGTACTATTTTAAGTGTTCGAACTAATGACTGTGTTGTTTGGTACGCTAATCTTACAATTTTTAACAAGAAGAAACTCCAAAAAATTTGTTAATCAGAAAGACCTCTGTAGCTTAAGTGAATTACACGACAAACATGGGTTATGTAAATTAAGTAAGATTATTAAATATTTGTCTCGCCCATTGAACAACTCGTACTCCCACAATAAATCTGGCAGGCTTCGTACCATTAAGTGCAATTCTAATAAATCCAAAAACTCCTTCATTAACAATTCTATAGTACTATATAATGAAACTTCCAAAAACTGTCCTCTGCTCCAGGAACCTGTACAGCAACAATTACAAGGATTATAATGATGAAGATCTTGGATAATAGCAATGCTAGTAAACTTCCTTTATTCTGTACTCCTCAAAACCTTCCAACACACTATCCCATAATAGTAATTGTATAATCCTCCCTTGCCAAGGCATCACTAAATTCAAATCCAATCTAAACAATACACATACAATGTTCCTTTGTATGGCTTCACTCTCTGGTAGCATTCAATGTTTTTGTTAATTAATCTGTTAGCAAATTTATCACAAGCAATATATGTGTATTTTCCTTTCAGCTCTTCCAATGGGAAGCTCAGTGGATCTCTTGGCAACGAAGGATCCTGATACCGTTGAGCAGGAAGAAGGGGAGGATGTGCCGATCTACGCCAAGCACGATAACCTGCTTCATGGAAAGAAAAAAAAGTAAGATATAAAATGCAAATAAATAAATAATAAATAAATAAAATTGCCATAATTCAAGCAAATATTTTTACACAACCTTTGACCACACTTGTGTGTCCAGTAAATTTCAAGCTAAACAGAAATGTAGATGTGCATAAATAATTAGATTTTGCACTGCATGAAGCCAATCAGAAAATGTCAAGCCTGTCCAAACAAGGCCTAGCATCATAGCCTTGTGTTGCAAGGCTCTCAATCAGGCGAGTTTGCACACCAGGCTGACCACTTTCAGTCCCCTGGCCAGAATTTGACGCATCCCTACTCTGGCCCGCGGTCAGTCGGCTCAAGTCGACTCGGTCTAGCCAAATGAGGCCTAGCATCATATAAACATTCTAAAATCTGTTTTTGAGTGATGCGCCCCGAAAGACACACCACACAAAGACATGCGCGCACTATTGCAGTTATACCCTTCACCTCAAGGGAGTAAGCAATTTTAAAACAGCCAGTAATTCTGTTATTGCAAGCCAACCAAAGAATATTGACAGGTGAAAGGTGCTGCTTTTCAATTAAATAGCCTTATACTGATTAATACATTGGAAATGGGTTAAACGAATTAGCTACAGTACCTTAGAAATAGGTTAACTTGAATTTGTACAAGGTTAGAAAAAAAGGAAATTAACTAACACGTTGGTTGTGTATTTGATTGGTAAAAGAATTAGAGTTTAATTGTAAGGTAACAAATTATGGAAATTGTTTCATTTGAAATTATGTAATTATCTGGAAAGAAGCGAGCCAAATTATTGCAAATGACTATGAGATTGAAAATATATTTACATAGCATGGTTAATAGTGGGTGGTGGTGCTTGGAAAAATATCAAATACAAAAGTAGGCTTCTCATAGCAGCATGAGTGTACTGCAGAAGCTAGGTCAAATTGCTTTAAACATAGTCCGTTATCAGACAACACACAACCACAGCGCAAGTGCAGTATACTATAAAAATATAAATCGATATAAAGGTTTTATTACTACTTATATATGACAGGGTTTTTTATTTACTTTCTTTTCTTATTCACATCAATACATTAGCAACCAAAGAGCTAAAAATAAATACAGCAAGTTAAGATTTACAATAAAAAAAAAGTGTAGAAAATATCACACATATGATTTAAAAATATTAAAAGAAACAAAATATTTGTTGAAAAATGTATGCATTCATTAGGAGCCCGAAACTTATAATAGCATAAAAAATATAATTCTTAATGTGAATACATTACTCTCAATTACAATTTTTTTACTATACAAATAAACATTTTTCTTTGGAGAAAATTATTCAAGGAAACCTGGAGAAGCTGACCACAGTAATCCTGTTAACGCTACTAATAATATTTTGTATTATACATGTAGAATTTGCACAGCAACTTTAAGAAAGCCTATAAACAATTGAAACCCCTTAATAAAATACATCATGCTTATATGAATAATTTCCTGGTTTAATTTATCAGTTCTGTGTATATTTTTGTCTGAAGAACAAACCTCGGGAGAATGGTGGGATCATATTCTAATAAAACATTAATTTTCTGTTACTATTATATATTTGGATATGTCATGTTACTGTATTAAAATTTCATATTGTAAATTAAACAAAGCATGAAAAGTTTTAACGGATTTACACCTTAAGTACTGTCAGAAAGTTATAAATATATTATATATATTGTATGATCAGATGTTTGTCAGATAATGGAGGTATACCATTTTTGTGATTTGCCAAAATAAAGGAATTTTTTCGCATTCAAATTGATGGATAGTGTATGTAGAGATTAACAATGTTTGATGAAAAATATTGTATGATGTACTTTGAGCATTGATTTCTGACAGACATGGAAAGATTAGATACATGTTTATGTCTGATTAAACTTTAGTATGACATACTCAACGTATTCCTCCATGGGCTGGGAAAGTACTGAAAGTGTCTAACATAAGAAAATTACTGTATTGCATAATCAGTACTTGATAAACTTTAGTCTTAGCATAGATTTTTTTTACCCTTTAAATGTTTAATTTTATATCTTTTTAATGTACCTTTTTGTAATGTATCTTTTTAATGCATTAAACATATTAATTTACGCAAATAGAAATAATTATAATAATGTATTTTGATCTAAATCCGCATTTCTAACTATTATTTTTTGGTTTGGAGTTGGAAGGTTAAAGGATGGTGTCACGATTTACTTGTGTTACTTATGTATTATATAACATACTGTACAATTTATACAATAAATTTTTTTGACCATTATCAGGCATCAATATGTAAACATGGCCTTCATGCGAAAGTATGTACACATTGCGAAGAGCATTAAGCCGGCATTGACCCGTGAAGCGGCCGAATTTATTGCTGATGAATACTCTAAGCTACGTAGCCAAGAGGCTGTTGCAGCTAACACAGCACGGGTGAGAGAACACGCTTATTTGATTTTAATGGGATTCCAATATTTCTTTCACCATAAATTCTATTATTCACATGCTGCACCGAGTAACATGTAAATTTAATGATCGAAGTAATCTCTGTGATGTTGTAAAAACTGCCATTATGAGTCTTAAGAGAAAAACAGACTCTACAGAATAGTTATATATAAGATAATTTAACAGACTCAGAATAGATATACTGTACCATACAGGGGCGGATCCAGCTTTGCAAGAAAAAGGGAGCGTGAATGTGTGAACTGAGTGAGGGTCTCAGGGAAGAGCCCATGGTAGGAGTGCAAGAGGGGAATCCCCTTAAATTTATAACCCTTCATTAATTTGAATTTGTAATTTTCTCATAAGCTTTTCCACTACTGTACCATATTTCTTGGGCATAAGCCCACACCCCTACTTTAAATACCCAATTTTATGTACCAGCCTTTCCTCGGGCAAAAGCCCAAGGGTATGACTTTTACAAATATTCTCAGAAAAAAAACATCAAATGTTGGCTTTGATTTAGGCATACAGTGCAGAAAAATTTCCATTTGATTGAAAAAGGAGATTCCCCTGGTCTTATCAAACCCCCAATAATTTGCCAAATTTTGTGTTCAAAGTGGGGGAGGGGGTTAATGGGCTTTATATACCAGAGAAACTGTGGTATATGCCATTATGTTGAGTTTCAGTATTTTTATTCTTTATTTGGTCATCTTCAGGATTAACACTTTATCTTCATTTACATTTCAAACTAGTGCTAAAAGTATTAAAAGATACTGACCAATCAGAATATATTTATAATATAATTTAAGAGTGATTTATAATCAAAGGTACCTGTGTGAACACAATTTAGTGTCTTTGAATGTTTTACACCTGTGTTGAGCCTTTAAAGCTTTGTCCACACTATCAAATTTTATGTGACAATTTTGTGTGATGTGACCATATATGGGCATGATGATGATGTCACATTTCACCCAAATATCATACACACCAAGTCTCGCGCATTCGGCATGAGACTCCCACATTTGGGTCTGTCTTGCGCTTAAGGACCAAAATATTGCGTATAAATGTAATGTCTATCAAGTATATTATAAAATATAGGCCTAGGCCCTATGTAGTGGTATGTCGTTTGATAAAGTGCTGTCTGGGTTAAGATCAAAGGACCTGTACGTGACAAATTTGTGTGGAGACAACCTGAAATGTATGTATTCTCAAGTAAAAGAAAAATGCAGATCATGAATTTAAGAAATACATTTTTTTAGGGAGAGGAGTCGATCCCCATAAAGGGTGGGGGTTGAATTTTTCTAATAGAATGTCTGAAATACGGGCATATCACATTTATTTTTCACATGAAATTTGTAGGCGAAGCTTGAGGCTTAATTTGCAGTAGGTTGCACGGGGAACGTGGTAAATGGCAGATCGTAGGATATTTTGAAGGCATGGTCACTGTTATCAAGAAAACATTTTGTGAAAAGCTTTATATATTTATTTCTTTTAAACTAACATAATTAGAGTCGAGGCTTACGCAACAAGTGTGGTCTGTGATAGTTTCCGCATTTTAAAGTTGATTAATCAGTGTTGAATTCTCAGTTGCTTTTAAAATGAAAGTAAAAATGCTTTTGATGACTGACAAACATGACTTGGAGTTACTCATAATAAATTCAATAAAAGGAAAAAAAAAACAATTTTATGATCATATGCATATTGCCAAGCAATTAGAAGAAAAAAAATGTTCAGAATGGGTCATATTTATAGACAAACATGATTAAGAATTAATAATGTTTTTTCTATTCAGTTCAAAGAGTTATTAATGTTAATTCTATGATTTAAAAAAAATAATTATGATCATATTGCCAAGCAGTGAGAAAAAATTGTTCAGGATGGGTCAAATTAATAGATAAACATGATTAAGAGTTTTTTTTTTTTATTCAGTTAAAAAACTTATTAATGTTAATTCTGTGAATTAAAAAAAATAAATATGATCATGTTGCCAAGCAATTAGGTAAAAAATTGTTCAGGATAGGTCATATTTATAGATAAACATAATTAAGAAAGTATTTTTTATGTTAATACTACAGATATCATGATTAGAAAGTATTCATATCTTATAATATGATTTGAAAAACAAACAGGTTTATGACCATAATGCTTGTTAATTAATTACACAAAATTTGTTCTGGATGGGTCTTTTCATATGTAAATCCCGGGAGATTTTAATTAATCAAAATCATCTATATTAATTTTAATGGTGTATGATTTTCCACAGACACAACCCATCACGGCACGATCCCTGGAGACCATGATTCGACTCGCGACTGCTCATGCAAAGGCTCGGCTGAGCAAGACCGTCGACTTGGAGGACGCCCAGGCCGCGCATGAGCTTATTCAATTTGCGATATTCAAAAAAGTGAGTCATTAAAGTGGTGTTTTTGGGGGGGGGGGGTGTCTTCATTATGTAAATTTCATCACACAGTAAAAATCTTGCCTCTTGCGATGGTTCATATTTTGATTATAGTTATTTTCAATCCAGACCAAAAAAATGTCTTAATTTACAGACTAGACAATATCATTTCAACATTCTATCATAAATATATCCTATTTTTATTATTCTAATATTAATATTATGTCATAAATTGAAAGTCAAATAATATAGGCTTATTATTTAATTTTCATCCTAACTGAATTGAAGATGCTATGTATTCTCTTCTCATATAATCATAATATTTTAAATTGATTCCATTATTATTATACCTTTATACACTGTATTGTTTTAAAATTATAACCGTGTTTTTAAATCCTTAACTTCTGTCCAGATTGACAAAAAAAAAACTGTTTTATGCCCATATTTGGTCATGGTGTGCCCATACAGTATATGGTCGTGATGTGATGTCATCCTGACCATATTTAGGCATGTCATATGATAGTCTGGACAGGGCTTTATAACTGTTAAGCCGGGCAATCACTGCTTTGACAGTTGCCGGCCGACGCGATTCTATGGAGAACGCAACGCCATGATGCATGTTACACGTCATTACTTAATTGGAATTTAACCTTGCAAATTTCACCGATAATTTCTCACAGGTTTTGGAGAAGAGGAAAAAGAAGCGAGGTAGTGATGATGAAGAGGGGGAGAGTGAAGAAGAGGAAGAAGAAACAGTAGAACCAGAAACAAGGAAACGAAAGAAGTAAGTTTCCTCTAACAAAAAAAATGGTTTTAATGTATGTTAAGACAATTATATGACATGAAAAGAAAATTGAATCAGGTGGGATGATGTCATAATATATTTATACATAAATCATTCCATAATCAGTCTTTTAGCCTTCTGAAACTAAAAAGTCTGAGGGATTATCCTTCGATTGGCTGTGGTGCTGAGTATAGCCCTGTTCCACTGAAAGTTAGAATTTACTGTATACTTAATCACGTTTTTGTGTTGAGGCACTCACTTTAAACTGGCGGCCAATCTCACATGGGGTTTTGTGTTCAGGCACGCACTTTAAACTGGAGGCCATTCTCATGTGGGGCAAGCCAGAGTAAACATGTCAATCATTTATGCTGTTTTGAACAAGTAGCAAAACTGTCTTTCACAAATTACTGATTATATTTCTTAGAAAAAAATTTAAGTAGTTCGCTTTTAATTTAAATCATTTCCTTGCCAATTAGCAAATGCATGAGTAATTATCTTTATTATTTTTTTTTTTGCCTGGACATTTGCATTGGCTGGTAATTAATTTAAGTATGTTTGTATATCTGCGAAAACCTTTTTTTTTGTATTAATGCATAGCAGCACATTAAGCATTGTAACTGATTGATTGATTTATGTAATGCATATATGTGTGTGAGGGTGGAGGGAGTTGTGTGTGTTTTCTTCAGTGCGCTTGTAAGGCAAGACTCATTTAATACCTCAAGTTTTTTGCGAGCCCGCTGCCCGCCAATAATGATAATTTCAAATAAAAATACAATTTTATTTTTGGCCAGTTAGTGCACCCGCCGATATGAAAAAAAATGGAAGTTTCAGAAACAAATAAAAGTTTTTCTTTATTTTAATTACGCCCACCGCTGCCTTGAAAATCTCCAAAAGTAAGATGTATATTTCTTCTAATTACATAAATTTAATGGATTTAACCATCCCATTACTACACTGTTTACATTCACCAATAAAATTATATTTTTATTTTCTTCTCTGTTTGGATGTTTTTGGCAAAACCATTTGTTATATAAGAAAACAAAATTTTATTTTATTGTTTTTTCACCATCCTCTGACGATATTTTAAAAAATCAGTTCATGAAACAAGGTATGAAAAAAAGTCTCGCCCAAACAAGAAAACTAAAGAAATGTACACACAGTGTTCCTGAATTTTCGTGTTTAGTTTTGGGCATCTCATTATGTTAGCTATTTTGTTTTTTGATAAATATGAAAGCCATATCTCCATGCCAAACATATACACATACAAAATGAATAATCAAGTTAATGGAAACAGCGATAGGATGGATGATATTATTTAAATGATTGAAGACACTCTGGTAAGATCTGGAAAATAATGACTCATAATTATTTTTAGAATAAATTGCATATTGAAAAGGAATAAATACAAGATTTAAAACAATTCAGATTTAGCAAAACTTTTACTACAAAAACCTTTTTAATTAATTACCAACAAATTGTAAAGTCAAAGCATTGTTCTTTTTTAAGCATAATTTTTCTATTAATGATTTATTCTTACCATACTCTTATACGTTAGTACAAAAAGTATTATTTATAAGTTGCTGATTGAACAAGGAAATATTTTCTCGTTCAAATTTGCAATCAAAAGTTAATACTTTAATAACTAATATTCTGCTTTTTTTTTTGTAGAAGATCAAGAAAAGATGCAGCCAAGAAGGCCGCAAAGAAAGGAGAAGAAGGCTACGACCCCTATGATTTTGACAGTTTTGATGAAGATGAGGAAGGAGGTAAGGGCTTTGTCACTTGTCATAAAATATTTATTTTTATTATATCATATCACATCATCATAAAATATATTATATATATATCATAGTATATATCGTATATTTTATTGTATCTCATCATATATCATTCCATCTTATGCATCATATCATTTGTAACAACCTGTTCTATTTCATAATAAATATCATATATATTATGTCATATATCATATTGTATAATATTTGTTTGACTATAGACGAATTAACATAATAGACATTAAGAGATCAACAGCTCGTACCTGTAATATTGCTCAAAAGAAGAGAATTTCCCTCTAACTTAGTAGTACCAGCTGCAACATTAAAATAAATATGAGAAATATGATAGTGCAAGAAGGTTTTTTTCAGCACTGTATGACTTGTTTAAAATCCTTTTCATAATGTTGCAATACATCAAAGAGTACAACATTAACAAAAGCAACAATTTTCACAAGTGAATTGTCAGTACAAACAATCTGACAGATACTAAAATTTGTGTTAAATAAAAATATTAATTTTTTTAATTTTCAAAAGTTGCTATCACACCAAAATCTGTAAGCATAGAAGATGAAAGCGAGGAACCAATGGATACTGCAGAATCACAAACAATTTCAGAAGAAAGGTATATTTATTTTGTATTGTTAAAGATTGAAAGTGTATTTATAATACAATAATAATGAACTTATAATAATAATAGTAATAACAATAATAATAAAAATAATAATAATAATAATAATTGTGAATTTATATATTGCATAATTTAAAGACCTTTTTATAGACAGAAAGTGCAGTAAATGTATGTGAAAACTGTTGATATGTATGTAAATTTATTTTTTAAATTATTAAGTTATTAATTTTAGTAATAAAGATAAGAATAAAGATTTTTAAAGGTATTAATAAATATATATACTAAATAGAAGGCATAAAGAATATAAGTGTATTTCAGTAACCTTTACTTTAAAGAAGAGAATTTCCCTCTAACTTAGTAGTACCAGCTGCAACATTAAAATAAATATGAGAAATATGATAGTGCAAGAAGGTTTTTTTCAGCACTGTATGACTTGTTTAAAATCCTTTTCATAATGTTGCAATACATCAAAGAGTACAACATTAACAAAAGCAACAATTTTCACAAGTGAATTGTCAGTACAAACAATCTGACAGATACTAAAAATTTGTGTTAAATAAAAATATTAATTTTTTTTATTTTCAAAAGTTGCTATCACACCAAAATCTGTAAGCATAGAAGATGAAAGCGAGGAACCAATGGATACTGCAGAATCACAAACAATTTCAGAAGAAAGGTATATTTATTTTGTATTGTTAAAGATTGAAAGTGTATTTATAATACAATAATAATGAACTTATAATAATAATAGTAATAACAATAATAATAAAAATAATAATAATAATAATAATTGTGAATTTATATATTGCATAATTTAAAGACCTTTTTATAGATAGAAAGTGCAGTAAATGTATGTGAAAACTGTTGATATGTATGTAAATTAAGTTATTAATTTTAGTAATAAAGACAAGAATAAATATTTTTAAAGGTATTAATAAATATATATACTAAATAGAAGGCATAAAAAATATAAGTGTATTTCAGTTACCTTTACTTCTTTTGTCATCATTAGCACATTAGATAATAGATAATAAATTAATAATAAATAAAAATAAATTGTTCATTAATTATTTAATTAAATTATTAAATTATTATTAATAATTATATTTTAATATTATTTTTGAGAGGCAGTATAAGCCTCTCTAACTCATTCCATGCTATTTGAACTTGTTCAAACGTATAGTAGACCTACAAATCGTTTTTCTAATTTTAATTTGTTTCTTACTTAAAGCACTAGTAAGTATCATTAAGTAAGGAAGTTAGTGGTTCCTAATCTATAAGTACATGTTCTTGTAAAGGGATCACTGTATAATTTCTGGTTAATAAAAAAAATAATAATAATTGTGTATTTGTCTGTTACAGATTAAAATCTTTTAAAGCTGTACTTCAGAAAATGTTTGCCGACCAGCATGTCCAGCAGCTGGAGATTGCGAAAGTGAAAGCAGCAATCAACAAGGCATTTCCGATGGAGATATTCACCGCCGAGGAGTTCCAATCCGCGCTTAACACCATGCAAGACGCAAATCAAGTCTACGTCTCTGGAAACCTTATTTTCCTTATTTAAATTCCAGTCTGGACACTGAATACTATGATAGACAAAATAGAAACATGTCTGAAACTAAGCTACAATGTCTGGACCTTTAACAATATCCAAGTGATGGGGCTTAGGCAAAGACTTTTTTATAAGTTGTTTCGCGAACCCGCCACCCGCCAATATTAATTATTTAGAATAAAAATAAAATGTTACTTTTGGTCAATTAGCACACCCGCTGCCACAAAAACATGGAAATTTCAGGAAAAAAATAACAATGTTTCTTTATTTTTATTACGTCCACTGCTGCTTTGAAATATCCAACAATATGTATACTTCTCGATAATTACATAACTTTAACCATCCCATTACTACACTGATTACATTCAACAATATAATGTATAATTTTTATTTTATCATCAGTTTGGATGTTTTTGGCAAATCCATTTGCTAAATAAGAAAACTAAAATTTGTTGTTATTTTTCTTCTGCCCTGGTCTGGCTATCATTAAACAAACAAGTTCTCTTCAGTCTGTATGTTTTTGGCAGCAAAACAATTTGCCAAATAAGAAAACTAAATTTTTTATTGCGAAACATGGTATATAAAAGAAGTCTTGCCTTTGATGAATGGTCCATTGGCTCACAGGAAATCGTAAGATTTTCATAGTAAAAAAATTAAAGCAGACAATATACAGTATGTTTTAAGGCATCTAATAATGTGATTTTAGTAATCACAAGGTTCTGTTGGGCATTGAACCTACTACTGCCAGAATTACTAGCCCTATACGAGAAAATTAGAACACTCGGCTTGTATTGATGTTTGCTTTAAAAACAATTTTTACAATATGCAACGCTAGTGTTAAATACCAGTCTTATAAAGAAGAGAACGAAATTGTATATATTTTTTATTTATGGTTGAAGAAACTGGTCTTATATCTATCATTGTTGAAAGTATAAGACCCTAAAGGGACCGTTGTTATGCTTTAATTACTATAATTGTTTCATTCTCCATAATTAACTCAATATGATGTAAATTCATTCAATGATTTATTCAATAAAAAAACTATTAGTTGTTGGGTATTTCCTGTTTTGATGTACTGTATTTTTTTTTCTTCATGAAACGGTAATTCAATTTTGCTCACCATATGACAATGAAATGTGCTTTTATATGGTGTGTTTTAAAAGCAGTTGAACTGTGGTTACCATTGCATTCAAACTACTGGTCTCCCTCTATTTAAAGACCAATTAAATTCTAATTAGAGACCAAAGCTGGTAAAGACCATTTAAGACCAGGTCCCAAAAGTAGTCTCTAATTGGAAGGAGACCAGTAATTCCAATTACGAAGTTCTAGATTCAATTCCTATAAAACATCAGGAATTTGTGTCAAATGCTCCAAGGGGTAGTAGACACTTTGTTGTCTGACAGTTGTACTTGTAAGATAAATCCAGGGGTGGCGCCAGGATTTGCCCAACGGCTGGGGGGGGGGGCCGTGGGGTTCAGATTTCCCTAACGAAAGAAAAGTAGGCGTGGTCGAGCTTTGATTAAAAGCTTCCGAAATTTTGACAAGTTGCAATGGCTTATTTAATCGATTTTAGAGTTTACTAATACGTAGAAAATGCATATAATTTTTTTCTACCCGACAAATTGTCCTTTCTCTCCACGACGGGGTGGGGGAGGGAGGCCCCCCACCCTTGCTGGCGCCACCTCTGGGTAAATCCGGTGGAGGAATGATGAGATGGGTCATGAGCTGAAAGGTATAAATGAAAAGCAAGTGATTGTAGACTATGCTGGGCTTCAGATTTCTTCGGAGGTGATAAAGAAATAATGAAAAGCTAGGTCCACTACAAATCGGCGTGTGTACTTGTTGGATAAACGGACATATAAAGGTATTTTGATATTGTTATAACAATCACGAAATTAATCATGTGCACACGACGAGAACAGAACAGACTAGTCAGAAGTTTAGTAATCATTCATTAGGCCAAAACAAGTGGTAAAACTATCAATTTCGCGATATAATTTCAGTAGATTAAATACAATTTATATAAACCACTTACTAAACACTAATGACCATACTGTAGTTCATTGCATCTCCGAACATTTCTTTGTGATATTTCTTGTGAATTGCGTATAGATGTACGATTATGGAGTGAACATCCTCTGGTGATGTGATTAAATACCGAAGACCGTATGGTACTTTATTATGAATTGCCGTTCTTAATTACAATACTTCAAACTCTCTTCTTTCTTTACTAGGTTTTTCCACACACAAAATAATATTCAAATGATAATGAAGTAATAATAGTAACATGGTTATTATTTTTATTATTATAAGCAAAATTATACAATGAATAATTTGAGTTGCTTTAAAAAAAATATAATGTGAAATATTAAGATTTCATAATTGTAAGTCATAAAATAGGGACAAAAAATGTGTGTGGATGGAGGTCAGTTATGTTCGATATTTAACCTCCATTTCAAATATATTATTAATTATAACTGATCGGATGAACATGTTTTTTTTTTGTAAAATCATAGAAACATCGTGAAAACTGCGCGATTTTTATTTTTTTACGGAAAAACGATCAATTTTTTGTTTAAAAAAATTTAAAATAGTAAAAATTTCCATGTAACACGGATCTGTGCCAAAATCGACGAAAAAGTAGTTTTCATTTGATCTTTTAAACTTTCAAAAAAAACTTTTTTGAAAAAAAAAAATCCGCCCCTAATTTTCGGGATTTTAGGGGCGGCGGATGACGGCAAACAAACAAGTTTTTTTTTTAGGCCTAAAGATAAATCTCTTATTCACCTATTCTAGTGACAGTTTTAATGGAGGTAACTTTACCTACTATAATAGGCCTACTCGTGATTGTCCGTCTGCAAAAGTTAAAGTATCCTTTTATCTTTCCTGTGTCCTTGGTTTATTAATGGATTTTAGGAAATTAACTTCATTTTAATTTATGAAATGATTGACAAATGTTTACATTTTCTTGGCACATTTTACTACATTGAAAAATTGAAAACATATGGATGGACTTGGGATCGGATTTATTTTGCTGGATTATAGGCCTAGTTTGTGAAAATCCTTTTGTTTTTTTTTTTATGTAATTCTAAAGACATGGCCTATGCAATTCCAGTACGGTATGCTTTGCAGTTGGCCACCTAGATGAGCACACTTGGAGCGCACTTAGAATCTGCTGTATATGTCTGTTTAATTAGAAGGCAGGTTCATTTCAGTATTTCGGTATTTATTGGAACCCAATTTAGGAACATAGTGGCACAAACCTGCACGGTGGTGCGTCCACACATAATACGGTACAATCTTGGCTTGGGAGCCAAGGTTTAGCTTAGATTTAAATAAAAAATATATAAATATACTGTAAGTGAATCTCATATGTTGTTAAAACCGCCTGTCCTAGTAACGTATTTCCCATAGTATGTTTATGTCCGAACATTTCTTTGTGATATTTCTTGTACGATTATGGAGTGAACATCCTCTGGTGATATGTGATTACATACCGAAGACCGTACGGTACTTTATTATGAATTGCCGTTCTTAATTACAATACTTCAAACTCTCTTCTTTCTTTACTAGGTTTTTCGACACACAAAATAATATTCAAATGATAATCAAGTAATAATAGTAACATGGTTATTATTTTTATTATTATAAGCAAAATTATACAATGAATAATTTGAGGTGCTTTAAAAAATATATAATGTGAAATATTAAGATTATAAGTCATAAAATTTTTTAAAAAGTATGTGGATGGAGGTCAGTTATGTTCGATGTTTAACCTCCAATTCAAATATGTGAGGTCTCGCCACAAAATGACTTATATATTATATTTGGGTAGATCACATTATAAGCTTTTATTTGGTCTTTGAATGGCTTCCCTACTATAAGTAAATCCAGAGATGTGAGCATTTAAATTGTAGGTGTATAAGAACCACGATTTCAACGTCTTGGAATATTAATTTGTACCACATATTTTTAAAATGCGTCCTCCCGAGCCTGACTTAAATCATTATAACAAGCAACTCCTGGTGATATATTGTGAATTTCAAACGGACCTCACAAAAGACGGTTTAAGTTGGCACTGTCTGAGGAAAACAAAAACCCTACGAAACCAGCTTCTTGGCTCTCTTTCGGAAAAGGAAGCCATTAAGACAGCCCAGTGTCCGACGTAGGCTATATAAAACAAATGGAACGTCACACTTTTGCCAAAGGATAAAATTAAGATATTAATATACGGCCTAAAAAAAACTTGCTTGTATGCTGTCATATTGTTTTTTAAAAAAAATTGAATACAGGGGCGGGTGGAATTTTTTTTTTTTTTTTTCTAAAATCATAAAAAACATCGTGAAAACTGCGCGATTTTTATTTTTTCACGGAAAAACGATCAATTTTTTGTTTAAAAAAATTTAAAATTTTTTTTTTTTTTTTCTAAAATCATAAAAAACATCGTGAAAACTGCGCGATTTTTATTTTTTCACGGAAAAACGATCAATTTTTTGTTTAAAAAAATTTAAAATAGTAAAAATGTCCATGCAACACGGATCTGTGCCAAAATCGACGAAAAGTAGTTTTCATTTGATCTTTTAAACTTTCAAAAAAACTTTTTTGAAAAAAAAAAATCCGCCCCTAATTTTCGGGATTTTAGGGGCGGCGGATGACGGCAAACAAACAAGTTTTTTTTTTTTTTTTTAGGCCTAAAAATAAATCTCTTATTCACCTATTCTAGTGACGGTTTTAATTGAGGTAACTTCACCTACTATAATAGGCCTACCCGTGATTGTCCGTCTGCAAAAGTTAAAGTATCCTTTTATCTTTCCTGTGTCCTTGGTTTAGTTATGGATTTTAGGAAATTAACTTCATTTTAATTTATGAAATGATTGACAAATGTTTACATTTTCTTGGCACATTTTACTACATTGAAAAATTGAAAACATATGGATGGACTTGGGATCGGATTTATTTTGCTGGATTATAGGCCTAGTTTGTGAAAATCCTTTTGTTTTTTTTTTTATGTAATTCTAAAGACATGGCCTATGCAATTCCAGTACGGTATGCTTTGCAGTTGGCAACCTAAATGAGCACACTTGGAGCGCATTTAGAATCTACGTATATGTCTGTTTAATTAGAAGGCAGGTTCATTTCAGTATTTCGGTATTTATTGGAACCCAATTTAGGAACATAGTGGCACAAACCTGCACGGTGGTGCGTCCACACATAATACGGTACAATCTTGGCTTGGGAGCCAAGGTTTAGCTTAGATTTAAATAAAAAATATATAAATATACTGTAAGTGAATCTCATATGTTGTTAAAACCGCCTGTCCTAGTAACGTATTTCCCATAGTATGTTTATGTTTTCCCTTTAAATACAAGAATAATTATTAGCAATATAGTAGAAGGCCCAAAAAAAGAGTGTGGTTTTTATCTTGGAATATTCTGCCAATGTTTCAAATTCTACATGCACTCAACAAACTCAGGCAAGTTAAATAAAACGTTTAGTGCACTGAACTCGGCGACGTAATTACTCCTTGCCACCACTATCATATGCCTATATGTATCTATGGTACCACAATCCAGACCTGTGAATAATCTCTTTGTTATAGAAATTTTTTTATTGAATATTTTAGCATAATAGAAAATGACTTTTAGTAAATAGCCTATGCTCAAAAAAGTCCAAGTGATGGTTTGATAACGTCTGTCTTGGCGAGGTTAGAATAATTGTCTTTGCTTTGCAGACGACACGTATAGATAGTAATCCCCAAAGACAACTAGGTCCACGTACGATCAATGAAAAAAAAAACCGCCGACTTACCGTAAAAAGGAATATCGCCAGACTAACTTCCTCAGCACGATTCAACCTTATTATATAACTTTGTACTTGTAGGGCCGCCTGCATCCGTCGGCCAATGCCCATGCCTATTTTGTAATTGACGTGTCACTTAAGACTAATAATTAATGGGCCTATAAGCGTAATATTATGGCTCTATATAATTATTTTCTGGCACTCCATTCAGAGGTTGCATCAGGAATTCCTCGACGGGTAACTGACTGGAGATTGGGGG